TTTGACGAAAAAAGTTGCTGAAGGTTGAAATTCACGAAGCTCGAGGCTCACAAAACTTGGGGGCCCACTGTATTGGGCTATTCATAGATTGTTGGACAAATCTTATTTTTCTCTAAGTTATAACTAATAATTTTGCAGTTTATTATGTTTACTGTTGTAATTTGCAAAACATAGGGAAGGGGAAGGGTCTTTGATTTACAAATATCAGAGTTACAAACATTTGCAGTTGCTAACAAAGCACTTAGGAACTAAAGTTTTACAAAATGCCGAGTTGCATTGAGAGAGAAATCCATTATACTTTGGTTTCCTATGGAAAACTAAGTTTCTGGTTAAAACTTCTCATTTATTAGCTGAAATTGTGGGACTAACTCCCTAGTACTATACTTTCATAAAATTTCATATGTCCTCTTGGGAAGCTGCTAGTGACTCAGTCAAGGTCCTCTTATAGAGTAAATCAATCACCTAGACAAAGTGTGCCTATACAGTATTAATTACCTTTTGCTCATTGGAAGTTAAATCGAGTAGCTAGATAGTGCTCACATTGAGCAAAATGCCATTTCTAATAAAGACTTGTTCAGTCGACGTCTCTTCTAATTGCTATGTTTGGGTTTATTGTCTTTGTTTCATATAACTATTTGCTGATTTGTGAGCTGTTCATATTTGTATGCAGATGTGTTAGTGTTTTTCTTAAACTTCATGGTAATCTACCTGATCAGGATTAATTTGTTCTTTTATAAATGGGTTACCTTTAACTCTTAAACTGTCAAAACGTAGATCTACGCTTCCGCGCGTAGCACTCCGACTTTGATTTTCTCCATAAGAAAGAATGTAAAAAAAAAGTAGATCTATGTTAAATAACAAAAAAAGGCACAATACCGTGACTGGAACGATACGCAAATAACCCGCACATAAAAAAGAGAGAAGCTTACGACGACGTTTTGGTCCGACTTGGACCATTTACAAAGTCACACTGACTTTGTAAATGGTCCAAGTCGAACCGAAACGTCATCGTAAGCTTCTCTCTTTTTTATGTGCGGGTTATTTGTGTATAAGATCTATGTTCCGAGTGCTATGCGAGCAAACGTAGATCTACATTTGGACAGTTTAAGGTTTAACTTCAAATTTTCCACATTGTAGTTAGCATAATAATAATAGATATTACTTCAAAATGCATTTCACATCATGAAGTACCTTGTAGCTGCATGGTCCAAGAAAGTACATTACTGCTGTAGTAGGATATGTATAATTTCTTCCATATGTAGTCATTGATACTACCAAAACCTTGTTGTTCTAAAATGGAGTGATGATTGACTCATTGACTCATCAGTCTTTATAAAAAAAATCCTTTGTGATTTATGTACATATTATGTATAAAACATTAACATAAAAGTGGAATAAAAATGAAGTAAATGCTGGTCATTAGTGCAAATGAACCCAAAATGAGATGGAAAATAAAATGGAATGTTGTATATTTTGGCCTCACGGCAGGTCCCTCTTTGATGTAAAAGTAGACGAGAGATGACGACTATGTACAAGGCAGGCCATATCACCCAAGTCTTATTATTAAATTATATATTTTTTTTTTTTTCAACAAGTCGGCAGTCTCCCACCAAGGCAGGGATATATATATATATATATATATATATATATATATATATTATATATATATATATATATATATATATATATATATATATATATAATACATACATACATACATACAGTGGACCCCCGCATACCGTTGGCATCACATACCGTTTATTCCGCATACCAACCACTCCAAAACTATATCCCCACCTGCTTTTAACATTTCTATCTTTATCCCATCAATCCCGGCTGCCTTACCCCCTTTCATTTTACCTACTGCCTCACTAACTTCCCCCACACTCACAACTGGCTCTTCCTCACTCCTACAAGATGTTATTCCTCCTTGTCCTATACACGAAATCACAGCTTCCCTATTTTCATCAACATTTAACAATTCCTCAAAATATTCCCTCCATCTTCCCAATACCTCTAACTCTCCATTTAATAACTCTCCTCTCCTATTTTTAACTGACAAATCCATTTGTTCTCTAGGCTTTCTTAACTTGTTAATCTCACTCCAAAACTTTTTCTTATTTTCAACAAAATTTGTTGATAACATCTCACCCACTCTCTCATTTGCTCTCTTTTTACATTGCTTCACCACTCTCTTAACCTCTCTCTTTTTCTCCATATACTCCTCCCTCCTTGCATCACTTCTACTTTGTAAAAACTTCTCATATGCTAACTTTTTCTCCCTTACTACTCTCTTTACATCATCATTCCACCAATCGCTCCTCTTCCCTCCCGCACCCACTTTCTTGTAACCACAAACTTCTGCTGAACACTCTAACACTACATTTTTAAACCTTCCCCATACCATTTGTGAAGCATATATGTGAACAGTATTTAGATAAAGGTAGGGAAGTTTTTATTGCATTTATGGATTTAGAAAAGGCATATGATAGAGTGGATAGAGGAGCAATGTGGCAGATGTTGCAAGTATATGGAATAGGTGGTAAGTTATTAAATACTGTAAAGAGTTTTTATGAGGATAATGAGGCTCAGGTTAGGGTGTGTAGAAGAGAGGGAGACTACTTCCTGGTAAGAGTAGGTTTTAGACAGGGATGTGTAATGTCACCATGGTTGTTTAATATATTTATAGATGGGGTTGTAAAGGAAGTAAATGCAAGGGTGTTCGGGAGAGGGGTGGGATTAAATTTTGGGGAATCAAATTCAGAATGGGAATTGACACAGTTACTTTTTGCTGATGATACTGTGCTTGTGGGAGATTCTATAGAAAAATTGTAAAGGTTAGTGGATGAATTTGGGAATGTGTGTAAAGGTAGAAAGTTGAAAGTGAACATAGAAAAGAGTAAGGTGATGAGGGTGTCAAATGATTTAGATAAAGAAAAATTGGATATCAAATTGGGGAGGAGGAGTATGGAAGAAGTGAATGTTTTCAGATACTTGGGAGTTGGCGTGTCGGCGGATGGATTTATGAAGGATGAGGTTAATCATAGAATTGATGAGGAAAAAAGGTGAGTGGTGCGTTGAGGTATATGTGGAGTCAAAAAACGTTATCTATGGAGGCAAAGAAGGGAATGTATGAAAGTATAGTAGTACCAACACTCTTATATGGGTGTGAAGCTTGGGTGGTAAATGCAGCAGCGAGGAGACGGTTGGAGGCAGTGGAGATGTCCTGTTTAAGGGCAATGTGTGGTGTAAATATTATGCAGAAAATTTGGAGTGTGGAAATTAGGAAAAGGTGTGGAGTTAAGAAAAGTATTAGTCAGAGGGCAGAAGAGGGGTTGTTGAGGTGGTTTGGTCATTTAGAGAGAATGGATCAAAGTAGAATGACATGGAAAGCATATAAATCTATAGGGGAAGGAAGGCGGGGTAGGGGTCATCCTTGAAAGGGTTGGAGAGAGGGGGTAAAGGAGATTTTGTGGGCAAGGGGCTTGGACTTCCAGCAAGCGTGCGTGAGCGTGTTAGATAGGAGTGAATGGAGACGAATGGTACTTGGGATCTGACGATCTGTTGGAGTGTGAGCAGGGTAATATTTAGTGAAGGGATTCAGGGAAACCGGTTATTTTCATATAGTCGGACTTGAGTCCTGGAAATGGGAAGTACAATGCCTGCACTTTAAAGGAGGGGTTTGGGATATTGGCAGTTTGGAGGGATATGTTGTGTATCTTTATATGTGTATGCTTCTGGAATGTTGTATTCTGAGCACCTCTGCAAAAACAGTGATAATGTGCGAGTGTGGTGAAAGTGTTGAATGATGATGAAAGTATTTTCTTTTTGGGGATTTTCTTTCTTTTTTGGGTCACCCTGCCTTGGTGGGAGACGGCCGACTTGTTTTTGAAAAAAAAAAAATATATATATATATATATACATGTATATATACAGTGGCCCCCGGTTAACGATATTTTTTCACTCCAGAAGTATGTTCAGGTGCCAGTACTGACCGAATTTGTTCCCTTAAGGAATATTGTGAAGTAGATTAGTCCATTTCAGACCCCCAAACATACACGTACAAACGCACTTACATAAATACACTTACATAATTGGTCGCATTTGGAGGTGATCGTTATGCGGGGGTCCACTGATATATATATATATATATATATATATATATATATATATATATATATATATTATATATATATATATATAATATATATATATATATATATACATATATACATATATATATATATATATATATATATATACATATATACATATATACATACATACATACATACATACATATGCATGCATGCATGCACGCTGTGATATAAACCTTATTAATTTTGAAAAAGGTAACATTAAGTAATTTAGCAAAACAATTCAGACCAACAATGACACCGTCTATTTAAAAAATTCCGAAGAATAATATGCTGGAACAAATGACTTCACGGCAATGATGTTTCAGTATCAGATTTCCATTGGCCTTGTGAGATGTTGAAATGGGGTTGTGATGCAGTCATAGCTGACTTGAGGAGCTTGTGCCTAAATATTTAATTTGTTCTTCTCACAATTAAAGCAACTTTCCAGCTAATTGTAAGTTATGATTTTTATTTATGCTGGAAATGTCTAGTGTCTTATTTATGGAATGTGGAAAATGTACCATAATCCCTACTTGCACCGAAATAGTATTTCATTACTCAGAATAAAATAGGTAATTGTGTGAACAGTGATTTTAATAAAAATATCTTTGATATATCTAGGGTATATAAAGTGTATGAAATGTAACCTATATAAGCTTCTTGCCTTGTATGTTTTACAGTTTGCTGAAGGAGGCTAGAGTGAGGCCGAAATGGAAACTATTTTTTCCTCCATGTGGGTTTATTTGTGCATTAAAACAACATAAGTTGAGCTAATTAAATGCTTACTAATGGCATCAATTTAAAATGCTTTTTTTTTTTTTACCATTTTAATAAGTTCAATTTGCACCTCTTTGCTATTAGCTAAGCCACAAGGTGGTGGAAAGGACCTTGGAAGCACCTCACACTTGGGTAAGTTGACAGGGATCCAATGCACTTGAACCTGGGCTTACATTTTCTCAAAGATCCAAATTAAAAACAAGAGAATATTGACTTTCATTAGCATGATATGCTTTCATAAATGCATGGTGTTACCCTAAATCATGGCTAGGCTTTCCAGGAACTGAAAGATCCATTTATCAGTAGTATTAAAATACAGTATTAAAAAGCCAATCCAGAAAATGGAGAAATGGTTGACACTGCTTTACAAAGTTGCTGGGGAATCTATGAAAAAATGACAGACGTGTAGGATCTCAGAGGAGTGTTAGGATAATGCTCACTTTTCTTACCTTTTGGATTGTAAAACTTTTGAATACCTAAGTGTAATGGCAGATTCATGTATTTTTGTTATTTTGCCAATAACCTCTGAGCAACAGATTTGTATACAGAGTTCTTGATGAATATTGGCTTTCTGGAATTCATTGTATGGAGTTATTTTGCTTAACCTCAACAGCAATATTGTATCTGGATGTAGACTCTTGAATTTAACCCTTTCAGGGTCCAAGGCCCAAATCTGGAGTCAAGCACCAGTGTCCAAGAATTTTCAAAAAAAAAATTTGTTATTTTTTCTTATGAAATCGTAGAGAATCTTTTTGTGAAGGTAATAAAACAAAAAGTACGAAATTTGGTGGAAAATTGACGAAATTATGCTCTCACGAATTTTGATGTGTCAGCGATATTTACGAATCGGCGATTTTGCCGACTTTGACTCCCATTTTAGGCCAATTACATTATTCCAATCAACCAAATTCTTAGCTATTTCACTAGTATTACTTCTATTCTATCGATTGAGCACAAGAAATCGCCAAGTCAACTGTTTCAACTACAAAATAAAGTGATCGGAAATTGTTAATTTGGCCAATTTAACACAAAGTTCAAAATATTCCAATTTCAAAATAGGGTCCAGAATAAACAATGTAGGCATTCCTGGCACTAAACTAACATTTCCTCTGTTCATTAGTTATGTTTTGAGGCTTTACAAATAAATTCCATTTTGATTTTTTATTCACATAATGAATTTTTATTCACACCAAAAAATAGAAGATTTACTGTTATGCAATACTGTAATAATTGTATAAATATCATCACCATATTTGTGAATGTATATTAGACCCACCAGCTGACGTGTATTAGATGTGTGAGGTCGTTTGTTTACTCTTGAATATCGGCAAAAATTTAACATTTCCGCTACTTTGAGCTCAGTTTCAAGCCATTTCCAGTGCTAAAACCAATCAAAATCATCTCTATTTCTGTAATATGTCTTCCATTCTATCAAATGAGACCACGAAATCGCAAATACAACTATAAAAAACATACGAAAAAATACTGCAAAGTTGCTGTTTTAATCGAAAAATCATGATTTCAGTTTTTTTCTCTCATTATACACAGTGTGCTGCAGGATCTGTTTTATGTGGTGCACACGTACAACATAGATGTATTCTCTCATATCTAGGCCCAAATGTACCACTTACAGTTTATCAGAGTGAGCTGAGCTCATGGCGTAGATCTACGGTTTGGACACTCACCGTAAAGCCGTAGATCTACGGGACGGACCCTGAAAGGGTTAAGAAGAAGCTAAACATACAGCTTTTAAATCTTTTATTTTGGACCATAAGCATAGGACATTTACATATCTGTCAAACTATACCACAGGTGGGGTTTGAACCCGTGGTCAGAGAGTCTCAAAACTCCAGACCGTCGCGTTAGTTAACACTACAATTTGGAGTTTTGAGACACTCTGACCATGGGTTCAAACCCCACCCGTGGTATGGCCTGTTTGCAATCGTGTCATTACGATTTTGTGAGTCATACATATGTCACTTTGCATTATAGAGAGGATTCTGCTTAGCAATTTAGTTTCAAGCAGTTCTCCATAAATTTCTTACTGTATGACTTTTGGGTATAGCACTTGATTGATTATAATAATAATGATAATAATGACGTATAAATTTGAGATTAAGGGAAATGCATTTCCCTTTACCACACCCAACTTTTTGGATTTAGACTTTATTAAACAGTGTTAGCATCCTAAAGCATAACAGGTTCATTAATGGTGGACATGGCAATGTTGTTATGTTTATATACCTGTATCGACAGAAAACTTGATAAACGTCAGGGATTTTTGTAAATGGTGTGACGTCAAAATATATTGAAGTTGCTGATATAATTGATACAATACTGTAGTTAGAAACTCCATACAATCATTCTCTAAATTTATTAATCACTTTAATAGCTTATATTCAGCATAGCCAAAAAGTCCTGATTATGGTCTTAAATTCTACTTGCATTCAATATAAATGTAGCTTTATTTTCCTGATCGTTTCTTAATAGTTTTCATTCCTATTATTTTTCTTTTCCAATTAATGAGACTTGGTCTGAGGCCATTCTGTGGGTAAGATGTGAGTGGGGGTGCGATGATCTGAGAACCATTGACAAATGATTTGTGTATTGGTTGAATATTTGGTTAATGAATTTTATTGAACTGTACATAAAAGGTAACAATGGGCTGGTTGTCATATTTTTTAATTCACTCTTGCTATCCCTGCTATAGATTTTATGTGGCTTTTTCAAAATTCCAGTGCCTATTTTTAAAAGATCATTAATTTTACCTGGGTAAACATTTTTATTTAGAATCACTGTTATATCGAGTTATATGCCCAGGTAATATGTAAATATTACTCTTCAGATTCTTTTAATAGTACTTTTGATAAATCAATAAAATGATTATTGAGAGTGAAGAATGAATGATTTTATTGTCTGTGTGGTTTTTTTTTTGTTTTTGTTTTTGATCAGTATTTATCACACCTGTGTTTACATATACAGTGGAACCCCGTTTTTGTCCTTAATCCATTCCAGATTGTCGGTCAAAATCCGAAATGGACGAAAACTGAAGTAATATTTCCCATCAGAAATAATGTAAATCTAATTAATCCATTCCAGACACCCAAAAATATTAACAAAAAATACATTTTATAGAGAATAACTATAGTTCTACATACAGAAAACAGTGAGAAATAAATATAAATGACTAATTTTAATGGATAAATGAACATTTAAATCACTTTTACCTTTATTGAAGAGACTTATCGGCATATGGAAGACAGCGAGGAGGGAAGAGGGAGGAGAGGTTATAGTTTGGAAGGGTAATCCCCCTCCATAAGGACTTTAGGTATCAAAGCCCTATCTGGGGTTAATTCTCTTCTTTGTCTTTTATTGGCACTAGGACCAGCTTGAGTCACTGGACCATGCAGACATGGCTTGCAACAGCTTTGTTAGGGTGATATTTTTCACCAACTCTTCCACATCTTAGCTACATGATATTTAATGCGACCCAGAGCCATATTATTACCATCGACATACCATGTTCACTTAGTTTAATTGTTTCTAACCACTACCTTTAGATGCCATCATAAACCAAGGGAGAAATAATGAATAATTCATTCCGAGAATTGTAAAAAAAAGCGTTATGTATTAAGGGCAGTGGCTGGGCCAACTCAGATTCATACACGTTTTCTCTGATGCTGGACCAGAGAAAATGCAGTGTTTTCTCTCTGCCTGGCTAGCACACCTCCATATGTAACGTGTTTTTTGTATAAATTTGAAGAAAATATCATAGATGGATTAATGAAAATGTTTATGTTAACCTAAAATAAGACATTTAATGTGCCCAAGAGTGATTATTATTATGTATTAGTATCACTAGCGTATGAACGGCCCAGGCGGACGCGTCTGGTTTGGATGATTTCTGAGCGGATGTACGAAACCTGGGGTAAAATTTTGCCCAAAAAAGTGGTCGAAATCCGAATTGTATGATATCCGCACTGGACGAAATCCAGGGTTCCACTGTACTGTACTGTACTGTAAGCATTACTTTTTTTTTTTTTCTTGGCCCTGTGTTTAGGACATTTTTTTCAGAATTTAAATCAACAATTAACAGGTTATTTTTGTTTATTTTTGACTAGTAAAATTGTCATTTTTTTTTATTTACTAAAAATTTGCCTTAGCCTATTACTTCACTTTAACCAGGCATCAAGTATGATACTGGTATATTTTATTTTCTCAATTTTTTTATTCACTTTAGCCGGGTGTCGTGCGGGCAAGATTGGATGTTTCTGTGGGCTATAAGTTTGTTCACTGTGGGATGCAAGAAGTTCTCATGTGTACTGGTTAACTGTGACTACTTTAATAGGGCATTTAAATACACTGTGATTATTATTCATTTTAGTGCTATGTATTTTATTTAGAAAGGAGTTACACAAACATTTTCACACTTTATTATTTGCCTGTTCATGTGTTAGGCAACTCCATGCAACTAATGATTTAACAGGTTGTTGGTCCTATGCTTTATAACGAGTGGAATTATTGTTCTGCATGTTGATCCCGCTATAATCCCATGGTATCATGTTTTTACGTATTCCTTTCTCTTGCTTGATGCATAAGGTTTTGTACATAAGTCATGTCAAAGGTAGTGAGCCCATTAATCTCTGTATCAAGTGTGTCTTGTTGATTTAGAAAATGGACAGTAATGTTTTGCTAAATGTTCTCCTTTGAACTAGTGTTTTTCCTGGTTTATTGCTTTAGAAAAGCATGCTTATAATGTGTCCTGATATTGATCATTTTCTCAATCACTTTGATAACTTCTGTGGTTAGTACAGATAAGTTTTCAGTTTTTAGATCGACAACACCTTGAGTGAGTCAACCTTGCTCACACAAACACACACACCTTTTTTTTTTTTTTAACACATTGGCAATCTTGCAGCAAGGTACGATGACCCCCTCAGAAAAAAAGACGAAACATTTTCACAATCATTAATTCTTACCAGAGGTGTTCTGACATCACAATTCAGCTGATCCTCTAAACTTCAACATCCTCACCTCTCCTTTAGAGGATGTTGTAGTTTGAAGAGTCATGTGAAAGATGATGTCAGTACACTTCTGGCAAGACATCAGTTGAATGAATGATGGTGAATGTGTTTCTTTTCCTTTAGGTCACCCTACCTTGATAGGAGACAGCCAGCATGTTAAAAAAAAAAAATGGCACGAGTGTTTCTCTGTGCATGAGCAGTTATATTTGAACACCTGAAGAAACCATTATAAGAGCAACCTTCCCATATCTGAGATGAGGTTCAACCACTGAAGACTCTAGAAACTCATCTGTAATAACCATGCAACTATCAAAGTGACTGAGGGCATGGTCAGTATTTTGATTTGTTAAAAACCATTTGAATTGGCATTGGATTTTAACTTCTATTCAATACTCTGGACTTTTGCACTTCGGTTCTTTAAATGGAGTACGGTATATGAAAGTACTATAACAGTATAGTTGTCTGTAGTGCCGAACTAGTTAATTAGCTGTACAATATGATAAAGTATGAAGTGCCAAATGAGCTGTGATACAATCCACCATCTCACCTTTTATAGACATGCATTTTTATGAAATTTGGCTAAGGATTTTTTCCTGAAAAGTATTGTATTTCTGCTATTGTTAAGTTTACCAATAATGAACTGACATATTGCTTGTGCTTCAAACTGTGCATATTTTCTTTTTTAATTTCACTATATTTCATAGCAAAATATCTTCCTCTAGAAACTACTTACTTCATTTATCAGTGGCTGTTTGGAGAACTGTTCACCATGTAGATCTACAAAACACGTCATAAAGAAACACACATTGTGATATACACTAAAACTGACTATAGAGGGTGGCAAAGTTCCTGCAGGCACCAGTTTAAGGGTTGTGATCATGTATTTATCTGAAGCCTTACTGTGTTTTTATTTGATTTGTTTTACCACATTGGCCATTTCCCCACCAAGAAGAAAACTCATTAGTATCACTCATACAGTATCCATCAAGCCAGAAGCATGCAGGGATCTCGGTTCATACAATGCTATTAATTCATTACCTTTTTTTTTTTCTGTTGAATAATTTTTATAAATTGTTTCAGAAACAGAAGGTGAAGGAGCAGAAGCACGTGAACCACATCCTGTTCCAGCTGAGGGCAAGTTCATCGGTCAGTCAACTTCAGAAGTCCCTGATCTTCCTCCTGTTGAGGTTAGCAATATTGTATTCTCTTCTGTGGGGATTGTAAATAAAATAAACAATCTGAATAAATAAGCAAGAGATTTGATTTTTATGGCTTTCAATTGATGTGCATTGGAAAATTCCATAATTATATGTAGTATAATACTGATGGTAATAAAATACTGTACTGAATGATAGTTTTTCTGCAATAGTATACTGTAGCAAAGAAAATTATTCACTAGCTGCATGCTTTGGTCATTTGCAGCATGGTCCTAAGATAGATTCTCAAATTTTTCCAACCACTTTTGGATTCAGTGAGGCAGCCAGTGCTTGCCAGAATGTAAACAGTTATACTACAAACAGTTCTATTTTATATGTTCAAATGCTGTTATTGCTCATCTGTATTGTCCCTTAGGATATTCCTGTAATATGTTGTAAAATTTTTTAATACTTGTGCATAGTGCAGTACTATAATAGAAATGGACACTTGCCTTATTTTTTTTATATTTATTATCACACCGGCCGATTCCCACCAAGGCAGGGTGGCCCGAAAAAGAAAAACTTTCACCATCATTCACTCCATCACTGTCTTGCCAGAAGGGTGCTTTACACTACAGTTTTTAAACTGCAACATTAACACCCCTCCTTCAGAGTGCAGGCACTGTACTTCCCATCTCCAGGACTCAAGTCCGGCCTGCCGGTTTCCCTGAATCCCTTCATAAATGTTACTTTGCTCACACTCCAACAGCACGTCAAGTATTAAAAACCATTTGTCTCCATTCACTCCTATCAAACACGCTCACGCATGCCTGCTGGAAGTCCAAGCCCCTCGCACACAAAACCTCCCTTTACCCCCTTCCCCAACCCTTCCTGGGCCCGCCCCCCTACCCCCCCTTCCTTCCACTACAGACTGATACCTCTTGAGTCTTCTGGTTTTCGCTCCATTTTTCTCTACATGTCCGAACCACCTCAACAACCCTTCCTCAGCCCTCTGGACAACAGTTTTGGTAATCCCGCACCTCCTCCTAACTTCCAAACTACGAATTCTCTGCATTATATTCCACCACACATTGCCCTCAGACATGACATCTCCACTGCCTCCAGCCTTCTTTCCCCGCTGCAACATTCATCACCCCACGCTTCACACCCTAAAAAGAGCGTTGGTAAAACTATACTCCATAAAATTCCCCTTTTTTGCCTCCAAGGGCAAAGTTCTTTGTCTCCACAGACTCCTAAGTGCAACCACTCACTTCTTTTTTCCCTCATCAATTCTATGATTCACTCATCTTTCATAGACCCATCCGCTGACACGTCCACTCCCAAATATCTGAATACGTTCACCTCCTCCATACTCCTCTCCCTCCAATCTGATATTCAATCTTTCATCACCTAAACTCTTTTTGTTTCCTCATAACCTTACTCTTTCCCTGTATTCACCTTTAATTTTCTTCCTTTTGCACACCCTACCAAATTCATCCACCAATCCTGCAAACTTCTCTTCAGAATCTCCCAAGAGCACAGTGTCATCAGCAAAGAGCAGCTGTGACAACTCCCACTTTGTGTGTGATTTTTTTATTTTTAACTCCAAAGCCTCTTGCCAAGACCCTCGCATTTACTTCTCTTACAAACCCCATCTATAAATATATTAAACAACCACGGTGACATCACCATCCCTTTTCTAAGGCCTACTTTACTGGGGAAAAAAATTTTCCCCCTTCCTACAACCCCAACTGAGCCTCACTATCCTCGAAAAAAAAACTCTTCACTCTTTCAAAACCCTCCCTCCTACACCAACATTTGAACATTGCCACTTTGCCCCCCATCCACCCTGTATACGTTTTTTCCCAAACCCATAAATCCCACAAAACCCTTTGCCTTATCAAAAATACTTTTTATTTATATGTTTCACGTAAAACCTGTCCACACACCCCCTCCCTTTTCCTAAAGCCTCCTTGTTCATCTGCTACCTTTTCTCCGCTTAATTTTAAATTTTCTTTCAATTATAACTCACCAACACTTACCGGTCACTCAACGACTTACCCCCAATAATTTTTGCACCTCTTTTATCCCCTTTGCCTTTAAAAAAGGGAAACTTGCATGCTCTCCCCAACCCCTAGGTACCTTACCCTCTTCCTACTTTTTTTTAAATAATTGCACCAACCACTCCAAAACATATCCCCACCTTTTTTTAAAACATTTCTATTTTTACCCCATCAATCCCGGCGCCTTCCCCCCCTTTCTTTTTTCCCTACGCCTCACAAATTTCCCCCCCACATCCAAGGGGCTCTTCCTCACTCCTACAAGATGTTTTTCCTCCTTGCCCTTACACGAAATACCTTCCCTATTTTCATCAACTTTTAAAATTTCCCCAAAAAATATTCCTTCCTTTTCCCCCAATACCTCTAACTCTCTTTTTAAAAAACTCTCCCCCTCTATTTTTAATGACAAATCCATTTGTTTCTCAGGGTTTCTTAATTTTTAATTCACTCCAAAACTTTTCTTTTTTCAACAAAATTTTTTGAAACATCTCCCCCACCCCTCCATTTTTCTCTCTTTTTACTTGCTTCACCCCTCTCTTAACTTCCTCTTTTTCTCCAAAAACCTTCCTCCTTGCATCCTTTACTTTGTAAAAACTTCTCATATGCAACTTTTTCTCCCTTACTACTCTTTTACACTCATTCCACCAATCGCTCCTCTTCCCCCAAAAACCTTTTCCTTGTTTGGGGGAAAAAAAATCAATTTTTAAAAAAAATTTTAATTGGACTCGGGAAACACTTTCACAGACGGTTTTTTTTTTTTTTGGGGCACTTAAAAACAAAATTTAGGCTCTTAATTGAAAAATAATACTAGTTCAGAATACGAAGATTTATGTACAATAAAACATTTTCCTAGCTCAAAAATGATTGAATAATCCATTCTGTCAAATTTTTAGGTCATCCCACCCCCACCTGAGTTTCCTGCAGATCCTTGGCAGGCATTTTTAGACTACATGGCGGCCACCGAAGGAGGACCAGATACACAAATCATCCCTGGCCAGGAAGGCCACATTATTGAACGTGGCATGCATAAGGGCAAGGGCATTGCTGTCCTAACAAGTGGAGGCGACTCCCAGGTTAGCTTTCATTACAAAGACGTATGTTTAAGCTGACAGTTAAATTATCTTGAAACCAAATTGTGTGATACATGTTTTTGGTCTTTAAAGATTTTGATATAGACATTTTTTGTGCTGATATTTTTTAGGTAGGAACAAATTAGATTCTGGAGTATACTTACAGTTATGACTAGATGATATTCTGTATGTTCATTCTAATATATGGTTATGAGTGAATTAGATTCTGTGTTGACTAACATTGAGATATGACTCAGTTTGATTCTGCATGCTAATTTCAACTTTAGGCAGGGCCGGATTTAGTCATGGACAGAGTGGACATTTGCTCGTGGTCCTGCTAATAATTATAAAATAAGTATTTAGTGTTGTCATAATGTACAGTGTTCATGGAGGTGGGAAATACAATGGCTGCATTTTAAAGGAGAGGTTTGGGATATTTGCTGTTGAGAGTGAAATCTAAACTGTCATATCTGGATGCTTCTGCAAAGACAGTGATAGTGTAAATGTTGGTGAAAGTTTTTTTTTTTTTTTTTTTTTTTTTTTTTTTTTTTTTTTTTTTTTTTTTTTTTTTTTTTTACAATTGGATCACTGCTTACAACACTTTCAGAATCATGAGATGCAACTCAAAGTTGACATCTAAGAAAAGTCGTTGAAAACTGTCAGAAAAATTGTTGTAAACGCTACAAATCAATGCTAATTACTTAGAAAAACAACAGGGCAATGATGACTGGTTTACAAATTTTTATTATATGCTAATTTTGTATTGAAGCTAGCAAACTACATCTATTAGAGTTTAAATGCAACAAACAACTAATAATATTCACAGGCAAAATAAACAGTAAATTATTATTTAAATATTTTTTTTTTTTTGAATGAGCTAAATTATTAAATACTATTGTTAATATTTTTTGGGTCATAACAGCAACTATGGGAATTCAGACAAAACGAGTTGGCAAAACTGGCTGTCAGGCGCCAGTGTAGCTCGTTCAGTCGTTGACAGGTCCAGTACGGTAGAGGCAGGGCTCTCACTTCTAAGGTAATTAATTACCTTTAATTATGTTATTTGAGTTTAAAATTTTTGATTTTTTAGAAAATGTAATGTTCATTGTGTATTTGTTGTGCTGTACATTGGGAACACCTGTCATGTCATAATGACGAAAAGGAGAATTCAGCATGATTTTAGTTTGTTTATATCACAGAGCTGTGAGCAGAAAGCCAGGAAGTATAGTCAATCTTCCTTGTCAATTAATTCAGTTTAATGTTCGAAAACTGCTGCTGAATGTTGCCCAATTTTTTTTTCCTTTTGAACAGCTTTGTCGTTTTTACAGCAATCACTCACAGACATGAAACATTGACCAGAGTTTCTGAAAATGGCTAATAGCCCTTAGTGTAACTGTGTGCATAAATGCTTTACTACTAAATATTGATCATCCTGGGCTGCTGCTTGTAAAGCACTCATACAAGGTTATCATTAAGCACAATATAATTCTTGAATCACCTATGATACAAATAAGGCAGCAAAAAAGACACATACAGTAATGGAGACCTTTTTTAGTGTAGTAGAACATTCAACCTACATGAGACTTCATCAGATGCTTTACATTTTATACTTGAAAAAGCCTCTTGTAGGTAAAATGTTATATCAATAAAGGTCTCCTTATGTTAAATGTATGTCTTTCTTTTACCACCTTTCAGCTATGCCTTACTTCAGCTACCCAGATCAGATGGCCAAAACACCCGTATGAACAGATGCATATTGCATATACACTAAGCAAGAGTGCATGAACTGTACTTAGTTTTGTGGCATTGTTCTTGATTGGGTGAACAGAGCTTTTAAGAAACTACAAGGCACAAAGCTGGACCTAAACACTACAGTAGCTACTGTGAATTTGTTGAAATATTTTGTGGAGACGAAGTGTGGTTGTTTTGATGAACTCTGAGAAGAATTGAGCAATCTGGCATTCGTTACAGTGCTCAGATTTACAAGTGTAAATGAAAACTAGTAACCAGCTACATCCATTAGATTACAGCCAAATGTATGAAGCAAAATTCACTCCAGAGTGAATTTTGCTCTGTACAATAAACTCAAATTATAACTCATTAATGGGGCAAAAGGGTGGCCGTTAATGACGATTGTGGTGGATAGAGATGAGATTGTTTTGGCATGGTGGTAACAATAATAGACAGTTCTGTAATTAACTGACTTGGTCCAGTGTTTCCAACTTGATTAACCCTATGGATTTTGACCCATATTTCTGAAGTTCGTTAAATTGAAGGCTTAACTGTAGTTACCAATCAATGACAATTTTTACTTCTGAAATAACAGTCTGCTTATGCGCTAATGTGTTCCTAATTCAGCTTTTTTGCATTGATTAAAAACTGACCTCTGAAGAGATACAGTGTGCAGCCACAATGCTTGTGGAGAATTACAATAATGATCTTGTAGCAATGTTTAATGATGAAGGAATGGATGGCATAAATGGAGAACACCTCCTCAGTAAGCTAATAATTGACTAAAACACCAAAAGTTTATTGCAAAATATGGAAATAGGACTGTTTATCTTTTGTAATAGTTGCTAGTTGCAGTGTTGAGTGATCATTCCAGAAAATTAAGTACTGTATATTAAAAATAAACTTCAAGACTATGACACAAGAACAGTTCGTCTATCTGTCAGCAGAGTAATAAGTTAAGAGTACAGTATTTTCCTTCAGCTTAATTTCGACCAACTCATTAGCGACTTTTCTGCTAAGAAGATGCAGAAAGTAACCAAGTGCTTCTCCATTAATATGTTCCAGTTTGATTGATATTATGTTTATGGTAGATATGATTACTGTTTGGTTTATATGATTTAGTTTATAGGTTTATACATGTATATGGCTATATGTAGGCCTAACACATAATACCAAGAAATGTCCAATTATGTCATAGGTATGGTAAGACATTTTGATTACTGAGAGCCTGTGGAAGCAGATTGATAACTGTTCTATGTTGGTTACATTTTTGTTGTTAATCTCTCATATGCCATAATTGGCTTTAGTTTAATTTTTTTTTTTACCTTTATTATAAAAAAGGGCCTCCACTACTCATGAGCTTACAAATTCCATCATCCTAAATCCGGCCTTACTTTTGTGTGTGATTGAATTAGGGTCTGTGTGTTTATTCTAACTTGTATTGTTTGGAAACATAAATGCAAAAATGGTATGTGTTTTTTCCACTGTAGATTAGCCTTAGATCAGTCCCTGTAGTACTCTTTGATTTCTAGTATTAAATTAATGGCATTATGAAATTTCAGTGTAGTTACCCAGCTATGTTTATGGCAATAATCTGTGCTCATCATGTCTTTCTTTCTTTATTTAGTTTATTAAAAATTAATTTTACAAGTTTCCAACACTCTTGTGCATATCATCTGGAGCCAATTCAGAGCAACTCGATACTTTATTTGTAAGCAGATAGTCAATGTTACCTCCTTGAGCCCCCTTCCTGCATAATTTAAGGTTGTATATAACAGGTATAGTATGTCCTCTTGTTTTCTCTATTGCCACTTTTTTTTCATAGTTTCTCTTAAACTTTTAAGTGGTTATCATATCTTGCCCACTTTTATTTTGTATTGAAGGCTGATTTATCATCTTAAATCACTGTTTATGTTTATGTGGAGTAAAATAAAAGTTGGATGTGAGAAGTGGGTTATAGTAAGCGTATATGCACCTGGGGAAGAGAGAGGTATAGAGGAGAGAGAGAGATTTTGGGGAAATATTGAGTGAATGCATGGGGAGTTTTGAACTAAGTACTTGTGGTTGGGGATTTTAATGCTAAAGTGGGTAAAAATGTTGTGGAGGGAGTAGTAGGTAAATTTGGGGTGCCAGAGGTAAATGAAAATGGGAAGCCTTTAATTGAGCTATGTGTAGAAAGAGGTTTAGTAATGTAATACATATTTTATGAAGAAGAGGATAAATAAATATACAAGGTATGATATAGCACATAATGAAAGTAGTTAGATTATGTATTGGTGGATAAAAGGTTGATGGGTAGGCTCCAGGATGTACATGTTTATAGAGGGGCAACTGATATATCGGATCTTTATCTAGTTGTAGCTACAGTTAGAGTAAGAGGTAGATGGGATAAGAGGAAAATGACAAAAACAAGTAAGAGGGGGGTGAAAGTGTATAAACTAAGGGAGGAGGAAGTTCGGGTGAAATACAAGCAACTATTGGCAGAAAGGTGGGCTGGTGCAAGTATGAGTAGTGGGGGGGGGGGGTTGAAGAGGGTTGGAATAGTTTTAAAATGCAGTAAAATTAGGGTGTGGGACAGAAATTTGTGGTTATAGGAGGGTGGGGGCAGGAGGGAAAGAGGAGGGGATTGGTGGAAAAGATGAAGTAAAGGGTGTGATAAAAGAGAAAAAAAGGGAGCTTATGAGAGGTTTTTACAAAAGCAGAAGTGTTATAAGAAGAGCAGAGTATATGGAGAGTAAAAGAAAGGTGAAAGAGAGTGGTGAGAGAGTGCAAAAGGAAAGCAGATGATAGAGTGGGAGAGGCACTGTCAAGAAATTTTAATAAAAATAAGAAAAAATTTTGGAGTGAGTTAAACAAGTTAAGAAAACCTAGGAAAGTATGGATTTGTCAGTTAAAAACAGATGTAGGGAGTTAGTAGTGGGGAGAGGGAGGTATTAGGTAGATGGCGAGAATATTTTGAGGAACTTTTAAATGTTGAGGAAGAAAGGAGGCGGTAATTTCATCAGGCCAGGGGGGTATACCCTCTTTTTGGAGTGAAGAAGAGCGAATGTAAGTTTTGGGGGGGGGTTTCGTGAGGCATTTGTAGAATGAAAGGGGGTAAAGCAGCTGGAATAGGGTTTATGCAGAAATTTAAAAGCGGGGGGATATAGTGTTGGGGTTGGTACTTTTGTTTTTAAAAAATGTATGAAAAGGGGGAAATACCTAGGGGATTGGGAGAGAAGTATAGTCCCCTTTTTTAAAGGGAAAAGGGACAAAAGAGATTTTAAAAAAAA